TTTCCCTTTCAAAGCAGTATCAGAATTTATTCAGGTAAGATAGCAGTCCCATAATTAATATCCACACCAGGCTTCCTGAGAAGTTGGTCAGTGTTTTGGGTAGAATTAGAAAGGCAATAGGCATCAACGTGAACTGAACTGAGAGTCAGAGGAGGGAGAATTTTCCATATAACATATAGAGCCCTAGAACAGTTTTAGTTAGTGGACATTTGGTCCAAACCCCTGCAGAAGAAAGCAGGGTGAACTTCAAAGTTAGATCAGGTTTTTCAGGGCCATGACTATCTGGGTTTTGAATATCTGCAAGGATGGAGGTTGCACAACCTCTCTGGGTAACCTGTTCCAGTGTCTGACCACTCTTAATAGGAGAAATTCTTTTGGTAATACCCAGTTGGAATTTTCCTTCTTCCAGTTTGTGTCTGTGCCTTCTTGTGTCCAAGAATAGTCTGGCTCCATCTTCTCTGTAAACTTTCATTAGATGTTTGAAGACAGCAGGAAGGTCCTCCCTTAGGTACCTCTTCTTAAGGCTCAGCGAAGCCTTTCTTCATTTGCTAGGTGTTCCAGACCCCTAATAATCTTGGTGGCCCAGCACTGGGCTCACTGCATTATGTCAGTGTCTTCCTTGTAATGGAAAGCTCAAAGCTGGACACAGAATTCCAGGTGAGGTCTGGAGACCAGAACAGAGGTTTTCCTCTCTTCTGAATGTATGACTTCCTTTGTCCTGCTGGCTGCATGCTTGTTCATATAGACTGGAACATGATTAACCTTCTCTGTGCGAGTGCACTGCTGACTCATGTTCCAAGCCTGGTCCACCAACACCTCCAGATACTTTTCTGCAAAGCTGTGTTGTATCCTGTCAACATTCAGCCTATATTGTTGCATAGGAGTTATTCCATCCTAGTTGCATGACTTTGCATTTGCCTTCAAGTTTTCTGCCAGCCCAATTCTCCAGGCTGTTGAAGATCTTCTGCATAACAGACAGCCCTGTCCTCCAGCTTATCAACCTGTCCCTCCCAATTTAATGTCATACGTAATATCTTACTCTCAGGAATGCATGTACATACTCAGTGAAGGAAGGAAGTTCATTCATCTTCATCTGGATTTTTGACATTAATTATGTCTACAGACTTCCCGCTTCATCTCCAGGATCCATATTCAGTTTTTCCGAAGAGAAGACAAGCAATAAAGATGTTTCTGCTCTGATTCTCTCTCTCTTCAGTCACATAATGTCTGTGTACACATCCTGTAGCAATCACCATTTCCTAGATGACATGATGGGAAACTGAAGTCAAGACTGTCAATAGACATACATCATGAATTCAGGAAAAATGTGTGCATTTTTTGCTGTGCATCTCAATGGAATTTAAAAGTTTAGGTAAATTTATTCATAAAAATATCTGCAAGTACTTCTTTAACTTACTAAGCAGTATTTTTGGTTTGCTAACATGAAACACTTTTCTCTCTTAATATCAAATGTTCGCTCAAATACTAGAGACTGTGGCTTCATCTCAAGTGCTGTTTTAGAGCATGCTTGAGAGTGTGCGTGGAGCACAAGAGACTTATTTCCCTCCTGGGGAGACAGAAAATAATGGCCAATGGTTGCTGCTAAAGGCTTTATTGTGCAACCCCCCATCTTCTAGTGAGAGCAAGTTTATTCTCAATCTTTAATTACTCTGTGATTGTTTCTTGGTTTTCAGCATTTTCTATATTTGTAAGGATCACTCCAACCTGGCCCCAGTTGATAACTATTTTTTGATTAATCTCTTGTCCCAAATGATGTACGTGCTAACTTTTTACCTTCTTCAGGTAATTCAGCTTTCTTTCTTTTTTGTCCAAAACAGCTGTCTGTTTTGGAGGAGCTGGGTAATAGCACTCCTGGTTTTCCCAGTAGGTGGCCGTGTATATTTGTGTTCCAGATGCCCTGATGTGAATGTTTCTTGTTTCTGCTGAGTCTGTCTAGATTTTTTCAGGAAAAGGTTCTGAGCTAATTCTTTATTACCACTCTGAATTCTCTAGCTTAGCAATACTATTATGCTTTGTTCTCTTGGAGCTTTTCAAGAAAATCCTAACACATGATTAAGCTCTAAAGTAGTACCTACACTCATAATCTGTGACTTTGATTTGTTCATTCTGCTCAGAAATACCTGCATGCAC